TATATGACCATAGGCAAGATTCTCAAACTCCTCGAAGTCTCTACAGCTGAGAAACAGTAATTTCTATGCAGACAGCAACTGTCTTGTTTACTAGGACACCCTTAGGACATGTTATGATGCCTGCCACACAGGAAGCCCCAAACAAATGTTTCTTAAAATGAATAAAACAACTAATGAATAATACAAAGTACTTGGTACAGTCCCTGAAAGAGGCTGAATAATGTGAATAAAAGTCACAAAACAACCATTGACCCAGTAATGCCACATTTGTGAATATAATCCCTAAGAAATCATCCCACATAAAGGTAACTTATATATACGTATATATGCATAGATATATTTTAGATGTGAAAGAGCACAGTTGTTAGCGATGGAGAAATCCTGGAGAACTAACTCAAAGACTCGGCTAACCATGGAGAATGGCTGGGCACTTAGAATTGTTGAATCAATAAGAAGCTTTTTAGCTAAAACCTGGCAAGTGTGTAGACTGCTGAAAATCAACATTTTTTTAAAAATCTGAGAAAATGTTTAGAAGATCTATATAAGTGTATATTTATTAGAGAATGAAACTGAGTAAGAATTTGGAGTGATAACATTTAGAGATAATTACACTTTTTTTCTATTAAGTTGCTTAAGAGTTTTTGAATTGGCTCCCCCCTACCCGCACCCACCCAGCCAAGGAAAAGATAGGAAATGAAGCACCCAACCCCATTGCCAGATGGGGAGCTCTCCGTGGGCTCAACCATCCGGGGCAAGGCCTGGTCTCGCTGTGGTGTCCCTGCTAGGCTGTGGAGGGGTCGCTGACAGAAGGTCCTGGCGGGAGATGGGTCACTGAAGAACACGATGCTTTCTTAATCATCTAAGTGTGTTAGACTTGTGGTAGAATCCATTTCCTTAATGAATGAATTGGCTACTGCTAGTGCAGGTCTTTTGCCCAAAGCCCTTTTGAGGAGGATGACTTTTAGATGCATCCTCTGTAATCGAGAGGCCGTCTTGGTTCATATTTTTCGAGAAAGGTAGCTGAGGATTCCGTCCGCATTTTGAAATAAGCCACATCAATCAAAGGCCAGATAACCTAGAACTCGCAATAATAATTACTTAATATGGTCATAATTTCACCTTAGTCTTATATTGTGCTCTATTGTTCTGAACGGCTGTCTGTCTCACAGAATAAGCGAGAGAGTATTGCTAAACGTACAGTTGTGTACAAGTACAAACACAAATTGTTGCTGTGTTGGTATAATTTCCACCTGATCCGCTTCCTGCAAGGAAGGTAAGGCAGGTCTTATTCCAGGTTTATAGAGGAGGGATTAGCTCAAGAGGGCTAACTACTTTATCAGGATGTGATGATGATGGCTACCTGACGGGTCGGTGGGGATAGATTATGACAACACAGAGGCGACAATGCCTGATCTAGCAGCAGCTCAGCTCATCAGAGAACCTTTTCAAGAAGGGGTGGGAGTTGGGGGGTGAGTGAAGGGAAAGGTCTTTGCAGACAAATAGAGAAGCACAGAGTAGGTCCGAAGAAAGATCAGGAGGGAAGAATGAGTATCTATTAGTTGGGAGGGGACTCGAGGCCAGACCGAATCCTGCATTTCCTACTGGGTAGCCCTCAGCTTTCCAGAAGATGAAGTGGATCAGGGCGCCTCGTCCCTATGCCCTCCCCCTCGTCTGCCTTTGTCCTTCTGCTGCAGTGGACAGAAGCTCCCTCCTTATACCGCTGCCCTTGGGGGATGAAGCCTCGCTCCCATCTTCCCTCTGTGTGAGACCCATCCAGGCCCCTTGAAGGTGTACTTTCTGTGAAAATGGTGAAAAAAGGAGAAAGGGAGACAGAACTCAAGTTCCTGAGAACTGAGAGCTTCTGAGATTGAAGGTGCATTGATTCTCGCGTGACTGAAGTCCTCATGGGTCACTCAGTGGCCTCCCTCATGATGCCATTTGAATTCACACTCAGAAACTCTTCTGCGTGGAGAGACATAAAATGGGGGCTCCCCTGCCGATTAGCCACTGGTGTAGCACTACAGAAAAACTGCATCTGGTTTTCACCGACAGGCCCTTTTAGGGAGAATTTCTCATTTTAGGAGATATTCCACTGAAAGCAAGCCCATCGGCCTTCCAGAATGACAATGGGACCCACAGGGGCTCTTTTGTGGGTACATGTGACACGCCAACGGGAGATGATCTGTCATGTCTATATAGGGTAGTGCTCTAACCTGGACCGGAGGCCCTCCCCTCCCCTCTCCCAGCTCCATATTTAGCCATCTGCTGAAGGCTATGCGTAACATCGAGGTTTATCATTTTCTTTACTGCTACAGAACAACACAGAAATTTAGGTTCTTGTATTCACTGAGGTAGGTAATGAAGGTTTCTCCTTTGGCCTCGGTTTTAATAGACTGCAGAGAAAGCTAATCTTGTCTCACCACTTTACAATTTGGGAAACTGAGGCCCTGAGAGCGGATTTGATGTGTCTCTTAGTGCTAGAGCTGGCTGGGAATGAAGGTCATTGACTTTTGGCAGCTTGGTAGGTGGCAAGGCTCAAATAGGAATTTCTCTGTTCACATCATATTTTTGTTTTCATGCTACAAGAAGGAATCCCCCCTTTTTGGGCCCTCATGGCTTGGTGTAAGATATACAGGGCAGTCTTGGGCAGAGAAACCTCTATAGTGCTACTTTTAATTCCCCACTTATAATTAATCATTGTTTAGCATTGTGTTTAGTAATTATTCTCTAACAATGGTGTTAATATTAAGGACTACTTACTGTATGCTTGCTGTGTGTTCACTATGTACATATAGTATGTTTACATTATGCCCTATGCTAGGGATTTCATACATCTAAGCATACTTAATAGTCTCAGCAACCCAGTGATGTAGATGTTATTACACTGATTTACAGAGGAGGCAACAGAGACTTAGGGAGGTTAAGAAACTCTGTTAAGGTTGTTGCATAGGTGGTTGGTTGGGAGCTAGGATTCGATTCCAGATCCACCCAAATTTAAAGTTGGAGTTCTTGCCTCGTTCTTGCCTCACCGTCTTCTTGTTGCAGGGACTTACTCAGGAAATTTGGCTTTTACTCACTCAATCTATTAGAAAGATTTTATTTAATAACCAAAAGCCTGACACATGCACATTTTTTCCTAGTTCCAGTCCTGCTCCACTGGCATCAAAATAAAACTCAAAAATGTCCTAAAAGGTCTTGGCTCTGAACCAAGTAATGAGGGGGTCACAAATGCACATATTTAAGTCATCTGAGGCCTAAAGGGCTAAAGTCTGAGACCTGACAGAGCCCCCCAAGGAGACCTTGCTCAAAGGTCTGGTAACAAAGAGGTAGGTATCCAGGACCATGGTGCATGAAAGTGACCCATTGTGAGTCTTAAGACAGAGTCTACCCAAACATTTGACATCCCAATCCCCGTGCCATGGACATTCAATATAGGGCATTTTATTTTTTTATTTTAGTTTTTTTTAGAGAGAGAGTGCACACACACGGGCGAGAAGAGTGGTGGGGGGAGGGGCAGAGGGAGAGGGAGAGAGAGAATCTTAGGCAGGCTCCCCGCTGAGTGGGGAGTCCCACTAGAGGCTCCATCCCAGGACCCTGAGGTCACGACCTGAACCGAAATCAAAAGTCTGATGCTTAACTGACTGAGCCACCCAGGCGCCTCAATATTTGGCATTTTAAATAAATAGTAGTGGAAATACATAACATAATGGTTCCCTATAGGTCCCATGTGCCAGGTTCTGTGCTAAGACAGACTCTCCACATGCTGAATACTTATAATAATTGCATGAAGAGGTACTTTTCTTATTCTCATTTTTATGAAGAAAGCAGGACTCCCAGAGGTTAAGTAACTTGGCCAAGATCACCCAGCTCACATGTCGTTAAAAAATGAATATGTGAAAATCCTGTGAATTATGCATTTGATTAACTCATTTGCAAAGGCTATTATGTCATTAAACAGAGACTATGGGTTGATAAGAATAAAGATTTCTTGGAAGGGAATGGCAGGATTTAGAGGAGTTATTTTTTAAAAATTATGTTTTGAGGCGTGCCTGGGTGGCTCAGTCAGTTAAGCGGCCAGCTCTTGGTTTCAGCTCAGGTCATGATCTCAGGGTCCTGGGATCGAGCCCTGCATGGGGCTCTGTGCTCAGCGGGGAGTCTGCTTGAGGATTCTCTCTCTCCTTCTCCCTCCGCCCCTACCTCCCCCCTCTAAAATAAATAAATAAATCTTTTAAAAAAATTATGTTTTGAGGCAGACCTATACATTGCTTTACATGTGACAAGTCAGGAATATCGTCAGTGGGGAAGCTTATAAGCCCAGATTGTCTTAATAACCTTTATTCTGAATTTTGGTCTGAAAGACCTTTCCTTTATCTGAAGCTGGCTGGCCTGCATGACGTCCCTCGGCAGACAGGACACTGTCTCCAAGGCTGATCTCATCGTCTGGAGCTCTCACACCTGCAGGGAATGAGAATTTATTTGACCCTTCCACGAAATGCAGATGCTGTCATATTTATGCTGCCCTGTTTAAGTGGCAGGCACTGAATAATTCAGGGTTGCTTTTAAGCAAGTTATTTTGTATCACCAGGGCCCCGCAGAATTCCTGATACATAGGTAGCTGTTGTGAAACGTTGGGAAAAAAGAGCTAATTTACTCCCCACAACATCTCTGAGAAGCCGTTCCTCAGTTCGTGGCATTCTTGCAGATGTGTACACTGAGGCTTGGAGATGAAATCACGCGCTCAAAGCGAGGTCATCGTATCAGTTATGGAGCTTGATTTCAGGTGCAGAAAATGCAAAGGACGGTGCCGTTTCTATTACATCTGTAGCCAGTTTTGGGCAAAACCTCAAGAGAAAAACCACAGCAAATTTTTAGAGTTCTGGTGATTTCTTTTCTCTGACCTCAGCATGAATTCCCACATAAGCCGAGGACTGGCTGATTGATCAATACATGAAGGGATGTGCATATATGGTCACTCTAATTTATCCTTCTCTTTCTTGCAGTTCCCAAAGCAGCTGGGATCCATTAGAACCTGAAGCTGCTGTCTGTGTCTTCCCCACCTCAGTGGAGCCGAAGGCAACAGAGAGCTGTTTGAGAGCGAGCATTCAACCCATCAGGTTGCTATTGAGGTCTTTTTCATGTTGATATCAGAGCAGTTGCTGGTGTTTTTATCACTAGGCTGATTTAGAGATAAAACCAGCTTCTGCTTCATGACTGGGTGGAGTTGTGGGCGTCTGGGCTGGGGTATGTGCACAGCTTTCCTCACCAAAGGGGAGAGTGATTGGACAGTGGGTTGGACGGCTACACCGAGGAGAGCCCCGTGTTTAATCAGCGTGCCAATGAGGAAGCTCCCAGTCTTTAAAAAGGGAAAGGAGCGCCTGCGTGGCTCAGTTGGCTGAGCATCCGACTCTTGATTTTGGCTCGGGTCATGATCTCAGGGTCGTGGGATCGAACCCCGCATCAGGCTCGTGCTGAGCATGGTTCCTGCTTGGGATTCTCTCTCCTCCTCTGCTCCTCCCCGCTGCCCCCACTTGCAAGAGCTCTCTCTATAAAAAAAAAAAAAAAAAAAAAAGGAAAAAGAAAGACTCAATCTCCGCCCCTTCCCCTCCCCTTTCTTTCTGTTGCAGTTGAAGACTGGCTTTTGGAGGTTTCCAATGTAGATCGTGTGTCTCCCTCGGATGGACTGGGAGAATTGCTGCCTGGGGCCCTGAGAACACAACCTTCTCCGGGTTTCATTCCTTGCGGTGAATGGCCTTGGCCTCAGCAGCCCACTGAGGGCCCCTTCACTTGGGATTCTGAACCTGTAACTAGGACTCCAGGCTGGGAAGATGCTGAGTTCCATCAAGTGTGTGTTGGTGGGAGATTCAGCTGTGGGGAAGACCTCTCTGCTGGTGCGCTTCACTTCAGAGACCTTCCCTGAGGCCTACAAGCCCACGGTGTATGAGAACACAGGTGTGGACGTCTTCATGGATGGCATCCAGATCAGCCTGGGCCTCTGGGACACAGCAGGTAATGACGCCTTCCGAAGTATCCGCCCCCTGTCCTACCAGCAGGCCGACGTGGTGCTGATGTGTTACTCTGTGGCCAACCATAACTCTTTCCTGAACCTGAAGAACAAGTGGATTGCCGAAATCAGGAGCAACTTGCCCTGCACCCCCGTGCTGGTGGTGGCCACCCAGACGGACCAGCGGGAGATGGGAACCCACAGGGCCTCCTGCATCAGTGCCATGGAAGGGAAAAAACTGGCCCAGGAAGTGAGAGCAAAGGGCTATCTGGAGTGCTCGGCCCTCAGCAACAGGGGGGTTCAGCAGGTGTTCGAGTGTGCTGTCCGGACTGCTGTCAACCAAGCCAGGAGACGCAACAGAAGGAGGTTCTTCTCCATTAACGAGTGCAAGATTTTCTAGCCTCCCAGAGACTCCGCCCACACTCCTTTGCTCCCCGCAAAGACTCACGGGGACAGGGAGAGCAGGCAAGCCAGCAAGGACTGGTGCTCTTTCTAGGAATGTCCGTCACAGCACTTGCCTTAGGATACCATCGCTGATGAGGCTGGCCACTGGCTGTTTTTATGAAATACACTCTACATATGAAAAGCTCTTGCCCAGTCCGATTAGAAGGTTCTATAATGAAGATTTCCTTCTTTGATTAAAAAAAAACAAAGTAGTCTCCATCATTTTGGACAATGAAGTGAGTTTTTCCAAGAATTCCATATTTAAAGACAGGTTTTATTTAAATGATAACACAATGTCTAGCTCTTGTAATATAATTAGTTTTTACATTTGGAAAGTCTTTCCCTACATGGTCCCAAACACAAACTGCTGTATGAGTGACATAACCCTCTGGGGGCTCTGCCAAAGCCTTGTAGTGTTTTCCCCCATGTAGTGATTTTGTGGAGACCACTTGCCCGCTAGATATTCCTAGGTAATCAAATTTTAAAATGACCATGGCCGGATCCTTGCAATTACTTTTCCATCCACCTGTTATTCAGAGTTGTATATAAAATACAGTTCAATAACATAAGATTCTTTAATGCTGCCTAATTAAAAATTTAAATTTTAAACAGTTGTCACTAGATTTCTCTATAATTATATATATGTTTTTTTAAAAAAAGCGTTTCTTATTTATGATCTTACCTTTTACCCAAAGAAGTCTAATTGTGCACTAAGCATTCCTCCCTCATTCACCAAAATAGACAGAAGGGAAACCTTCTAGGTAGGGAATCAGAACGGAATGGAAGTGAGGAAGTCTCACTTTCATTTCAGGAGCACTTTGCCTGCTTCTTCCAACACCGTGATTCCTAGCTGGTTGTAGATCTTCTGAAGAAGAGCAGGCTCAAATTTCTGTGTGATGGTAAATTAGCAAATTTGCTATTTGAGTGCTAAACTGAGTTGGCATGGTAACATAAGTTATTAATGTTAGGATCCAATCCAAATCGCCGGGAAGGCGTCTACCTATATACGTGTGTGTGTAAGGGAAAAAAAGGTGGGAACTTATCATTTTTACTATTTCATGAATATGAAACACCTGAGTGAAAAAAAATCCACAAATTCCAAGCACAGGGAACAGGCAAACTGTATAGCAATTGTTCAGATAATAAAAAGCTATCAAGAGAAATACTGAATACAGAAGGATGCATCTCTCCCTCCTCCAACCCCGTTATATCTAATAGCTTAAAAGGAATGATATTGCTCAGCTGTTAAAGTTGAGAATAGAGGACTATGTAACTGGAGGGAGAAATTGTGAAGGTGGGCACCCACGTATATCATTTGCTCACCTAATTGAATAAAACTTAGAACTACTCTGAACCACATTTGTTGAAGTACATCATCGTTTTAGCTCAACAAGACCATCGCATACAAATGGTCAGAGAGTGGGCATGAATGACTGCATAACTTATGTTGACATGACCAACCCGATTTTTTAGTTTCCTTATGTGCTCAGTCCTTTACAGCTATAATCAGTGTCAAGATCAGATTTGTGCTCATCCCCAGACTCCTTTCTCCTTCTCCTCTTCTCTCATTCACATCCAGGGAAAGGCCCTGGACCTGGATCTTAGTCCCTGGGGGCCGGGGTTCTCTTAGTTTAGTTCCCTGGGACTGACATCTCTGCCTTCACCCAGACATCTCCAGTCCTCCCGTCCTGTGACTTGTCCTCACCTCTGTGTCACCCGTGTGCCTGGCTTGAGAGTGGCTATATCCAGCTCTCTTCACTGCACATCCAGAGGGTTGGAGGGCTTGAAAGCCGACCAGGCAGGGGAAGCTAGGATAGCTCATCTCCTCTGATTTCCCTGTTGATCCCGATCCTCTCCTCCAACAAAGAACAGTCTTAAATCACTCAGGTAGGTTTTCCTTCAGGGGCCAGTCTTTAGGGTGGAAGGGTATTTAACATGTTAGCAGGAATGAATTTCTACTTACTGAAATTGGCTGTCCCCAGGCTTTTCATTCTCTCTTGCTGAAGGGAGATGGGAGAGGGGGATTGTCTGAACGTGGGAGGGCCCAGGTACCTGATCCTAAGTGAGGGAAGAGGAGGTGATTCCATGGTGGAAGAGGAGGAAGAAGGGCAAGCCGTCGAGGGCCCAGTCAAACGGCTTTGCCTTCGCCCGGGCAGACACACAGAGAAACACTCTGCCTGTTGGCAGGAACGAAGCTTAAAGGCTCCCCCTGGGTACCCTCACACCCGTGAGAACAGGAATCCATGTATATAAGTCCTCCCCAAGGGCCTGGCAGAAACTGAGGCCAACTGGTGTCTGTCCCCCTTGCTAGACCCTGGGTTCTTGAAGGCAGAGCCACCTCATATGCATCTTAGTGTCCCCAGAGCCCGGCACAGGGAAGGAACCGTAGCTCAACAAAGTTGTGTTGAACTGACTCGGAAAGAGAGGGAGGATTTGGGCTGCTAGGCCGCGAGGTGGCTATGAGAAGGAAGCAGACCCCTCCCAGCCTTGCCGGGTAGGAAGTGAAGTCATTTTGCTGGAGTCCACGCAGTGTATGTTCTACACGAGTGTATATGTGTTTTGCCTGCCTAGGTCCGGGCATCTGTTTCTTGTACTTCAAACTCACTGTACCGTGTTGTAGACTATTATATGCATAGCCTTAACTATTCCAAGTGGCAGTGTTAAATATGCTCGTTTACGTTAAAGAATGAATGAGTGCTTGAGTAATTCATCCTATTTGGTTTTACTTTATACTATCTAAACGGGGCAGCAGAGGGGCATCTGGGTGACTCCTCTGGTCGAGTGTCTGACTCTTGATTTCGGCTCAGGTCATGATCTTGGGGTCGTGAGATCAAGCCCTGCATTGGGTTCCACCTGCTGAGGGTGGAGCCTGCTTAAGACTCTCTCTCTCTCCCCTTCTCTCTCTGCCCCTCCCCCCACTCATGCTCTCTCAATAAATAAATAAATAAATACATACATACATACAATACATACATACATACATACATACAGCAGAATCAAGTGTGATGAAATTAGGCTGAGCAATAAGAAAGCCAAAAGCATCCTAAGGTTCAAGTTCACTGAGCGCTTCGGATGTGCCAGGCTCTATGCTAAGCACTTGAGTGTGCATTATCATATGGTGTATAGGTGGCCACGCTAATAAGTACCATCTTACATGGGGAAACTGAGGCTCGGCGTGTTGATGTGACAAGGTTGAGGCCAGGGAGCAGGTGAGTGACAGCACCAGGAGTCTTAAGCAGGTCTGTATGACTACAAAGCTCTGCTCAAAACCACTGCACCCCACTTCCTCCCAGAGCAGCCTGATTGTATGTATGGCTTTGCCACATCCCATCTCATGCACCCTTGTAGACCCCACCCCCACCAGTCAGGGGGCTTATGTTTTAAACGTCATTTTTAATAAAATATTCCAATCTGATCTTAGTCCTCCCTTTTTATTTTTCTTTCTGGTAATGAAAGCAAGATCCTCCTTATTAACAGAGCACCATCATTTGCAAAAAGTCCCTGCTCTAAGCCCTAACCCTTGGCTTTTAAGTGTAATTTCACAAGTTGATTGTATGTGAAATGGCAGAGATGAAATACATTATGATATGATGCTATAAAAGCTTGAAAAATATTCTCTTTTTCTTATCTCACTTTTCCATCCCTCGGGCTTCACATATTTCCTCTGAATGAGGGAGTGACAAGGGAGAGAAGAACCTGGCTCTTTCCTTTTAAAGATTTGGTAGCAAGGAAGGGCATTGACCCAGCATGAGATCTGTAGGGTTATGATAGGCAGGGGACGGGGCATCTGTGAGTGTTCATCCCCAATGCAGAGAAGGCAATCATGTGAACTGAGTCGGATCAGAACAGTTCAAGGGTAGGGCTTTATTTTTGCTCAAGTTGTATCTCTTCTGTTAAAGGAAAACATAATCATTGGCCAAGATCTTGAGCAGTTTTTCACCAGAAAAGATAAAATGAACCCTAGAATTTAACTTGTGATATAAGTTCATAAAGAGTACTTGATTCAACCTAAAGTTCACATTAACTTTTTTGGTTGATTCTAAAATATATCCTGACACAGAACTTAATACTTAATGGTGGCTAAAGAGCCATCAGGAAGGAGTAAGAGGCTAGATAATTGTGGTTTATTTTGGAGTCAGAAAGTCTGGGTCCTGTGTCTTTCAGCCTCCGTCTCCCTGTCTTAAAAAAGGTACTTATTCCTGGGTGATTCTAAGAATTAGTACAATAATGATTGTGGAAGTGCTTTATGTTTGTAAACTATTGTTCAAATGTTTTTTGTCATTATGTTTTTGTGTGTCATTATGTTTTTGGCAGATTCCTATGCAGAAAGGAAGAGCATGTTGATTAACTTGAATAAGCAAAAGAATAGTTTTGGGATAGCGATGTTCAAGAATTGTGTGTCTTTTAATGACATATTTATATTTAAGAAGCTCTGCTCTTATCCATAATATATTTTAAAAAACTATGAATCAATAAGAAAAAACAGCCTAATCTAAAAATGGACATGTGTCAGAAGAGGAAATATGCATGGCCTGACAATAAATAATAGAAAAGGCACTCAATTTCATGAGTAGTCAGGGAAATGAAAACAAAATCCACCACTATATTGGCAAATAATTAAAAAGTATCACTATCAAGGCTTGGCAAGGATATGAAACAATTGAAAGTCTTATATGATGTTCTTGGGGGTGTCAATTGGTATAATATTTGGCAACACTTAGTAGTGTTGCTTAGCCTATATCCTTGACCCAGAAATTCCATGCCCTCGAAATACACTTGCATAGATTTCCTGGGAAGCATGTGTGAGAATGTTTTTAGCATCATTGTAGGTAATAACAAAAACTAGAAACAACCCAATGTCATCAACAGAAAGTGGCTAAATAAATTTTGGTATGGGCACTTGGGTGACTCAGTCGGTTAAGCGTCTGCCTTCGGCTCAGGTCATGATCCCAGGGTCCTGGCCTTGCTCAGCGGAGAGTTTGCTTTTCCCTCTCCCTCTATTCCTCCCCACAACTTATGCTCTCTCTCTTAAAAATAAATAAATAAAATCTTTAAAAAAAAATGTTGGCATATCCCATTGGATGGGTAGTGGGTGGATGGGTGAGCAGTGCTATAAAGAAAATAAGTTAGGAAAAGGGAGATAGAATATTCAGTAGTTCATTTTTTTTAACTTTTAAGAAGAAGCCTAGATGGTGTAGACATACAGCATCATTTAAAAATAAACCGCGCCTCTGAAAAAGAAAGCAGGCTTAACCTTTTCTCTGCCGTCCTGGAGAGAGGGACGCACATGCTTTACACAATGATCAGTGTTCAGTACCCAGTTCCCTTTAGAAGTGACTGACTTCACGGGGGATTCCAGCCCCTCTGCCTGTTGGGTTAGGACTGTTCCATGGGCTGGATGGGCAAACAGGCTGGCGCAGAAAGTGACCTGATTTACAGCAGCAGGGTAGGGCTGGGGCTGACACAGGCAAGTGGTTTCCCCCCTGATTCTGAAAACAAGGAAGGAAATGACTAGAAGGCAGGGTCTAGATAGGACTCAGAGTAGAGCCTAGAACTTGCCTGCTGGGCCCCACGGAGCGGTTCCAGGAATCTGCGTGGGGCCGGCTGCA